TCATTTTTAAGAGTAAATCAATTAAAAAAAGCTAAAAATTTTTAAAACTAAGGGTCTTTTCAGTTTTTGAGAATAAAAAAAGCTGTTTCTTTTTGCCAAAATTTTTCCCGGGATCTGGTAGCTTTATAATTGTGTAATCTGTATGGGGAAAATATTCAAAAAGTGTTTGGTTGATGGTCCGTGACACCAGTAGATCACATGGACTCTTGATTATTTTTTCATAGTAAAATATAAAATTGAACACAATTATGGCAAAATGTCAAGTCACTTTTTGTGTCGCCTTGAAAAGGTGACATATAGGGGTTACTTTTGTCGGCGGTGTCGGCGGCGGCGTCTGTGTCGGCGTCGTTGTCGGCGTCGGCGTCCGCTAAAGCTTGTCCGGAGCATAACTCAGTCACTATAAGTCTGATTGACTTCAAACTTGGTATGCATGCTTCTTTCAATAACCCGAAGTGCAGTGCACAAGGACCGGTACTCTGCAGTTCTTATTTTTTGAGTTATTGCCCTTTGTTAATTTTCATACTTTAATTTTGTCCGGGCCATTTCTCTTCAACTAAAAAAGCTATAGACTTGAAACTTCATAGGATGATAGATCTCATTAAGAAGAAATGCAGTGCACAAGAACCAGTACTCTGCACTTCCCAATTTTTGAGTTATTGCCCTTTGTTAATTTTCATACTTTATTTTTGTCCGGGCCATTTCTCCTAATGTATAAAAGCCATGGACTTGAAACTTCATAGGATGATAGGTCTCATTAAGAAGAAGTGCAGTGCACAAGAACTGGTACTCTGCATTTCTTATTTTTTGAGTTATTGCCCTTTTTTAATTTTCATACTTTATTTTTTTCCTGGGCCATTTCTCCTAATGTATAAAAGCCATGGACTTGAAACTTCATAGGATGATAGGTCTCATTAAGAAGAAGTGCAGTGCACAAGAACTGGTACTCTGCATTTCTTATTTTTTGAGTTATTGCCCTTTTGATTATTTTCATTTTTTAATTTTGTCCGGGCCATTTCTCCTTAAGTATAAAAGCTATGGACTTGAAACTTCATAGGATGATAGATCTCATTATTAAGAAGTGCAGTGCACAAGAATCGGTACTTTGTATTTCTTAATTTTTGAGTTATGGCCCTTTGTTAATTTTCATACTTAATTTTTGTCCAGGCCATTTCTCCGAAAGTATAAAAGTTATGGACTTGAAACTTCATAGGATGATAGATCTCATTAAAAAGAAGTGCAGTGCATAAGAACTGATACTCTGCATTTCTTATTTTTGAGTAATTGCCCTTTGTTGATTTTCTTACTTTTATTTTTGTCCTGGTCATTTCTCCTCAAGTATGAAAGCTATGGACTTGAAACATTATAGAATGATAGATCTTATTGATAAGAAGTGCAGTATACAGAAATGCTGCTCTGCACATATTATTTTTTTAGTTATTGCCCATCGTTATTTTTCATATTTCATTTTTGTCCTGGCCATTTCCCCTAAACTACATTGTTCACAAGGCGACACATCCGACTCGCGGAGTTCTAGTTTACCTATTCACTGACCATTTACAGTTTTATGGGCATCTGTGTTACTTTAAGCTTTCTGCTTGCAATTCGTTATGGTTTTTGACACCTAATATAGCTTCGGTTTTGACACCTAATATGACTATCCAACCTGTAGTTTTAAGCCCATTGTGGCTTAGGGTGGCTTTAATGGTTGAGGCATCAGAATTGCAGCCACCATTTATTCCTGTGTGATCGAAAGAGGCTACTACTGGAGTTTATGCATCTCTACGCTTCAGCAGGTGAGATGGAGATAGAGTTCAAAGATCAGATAGAAAATATGAAAATGTTTCTATGGATAATTTGTGGTTTGGAATTGAGGGATTAAGTCGCAAATGTTAACTATCATGAGACTGTGTATTGTCAGCATAATTATCAATAATTGTGTTAATATTTGGCATGCTAGTATGGCACTATAAAGTTATGCCTCTCCATAAGCAAATCTTTGTGAAATTATTTTTCCTCAAAGTAACTTTTGAAGAATGTGATTTATTTTGTTTATATTTGGCATGTAAGTATGTTATATCAAAACAGAGGTTAAGTTAATTTTTTTGTTGCAATCGGCTAACCAAGAGTTATGCACCTTAATAAGCAATGCTTGTGTGAAATAATTGGTTAGTTTTTATGGCAAGTTGGGCATATCTTTTGACATATCTGTCTGTGCCAATACCTTTATACTAAGCACAATTGCTAACCAGTGTTAAATCCATGGTATTGGCAATTCTTATTGCTGTTGCATTCAGTTTCCACCAGTTGTTTCCCTTTTTTGCACTTTGAAAATAGGTATGATTAATCAGTTCACCTGCAAGTTGCATTTATCTTAAGTTTTAACTGTACTGAGGTTTTCATGCTTTACCCACTTACTATTCTGTACATTGACCATGACCTTTGGAGGTAGCATATCTGCAATAGCCATATTAGCCAAGTCATTTCCCTTTATAGTCTTTGAATGTAGCTTTTGTTAACCTATTTTGGCAAGTATTACTGGTTTTGATATATTTCACCAAATGGCCATGCCAAATGTTTAAGGCCAATTAGGTTTGAATTGTCAAATTGTGAGATTTTGATTGAAAATTTAGAAAATAAATTTTTGTTCTCTTTATATGAAGAAATATCTCAAATTAACACAAGAGATGCAAACCAACAAATATTTTTTTTGTGGCTGTTTCAATACAGTTAAACAATTTAGGTTTCTACATTGGAGGTGTTTGATAAAGATGTACTTAGATTTAGATACAAAAAATTGTGAAATGAGCAAATAAGGAAAACTGTTAAAGAGAAAAATAATGATCTGTAGCGTACTAATTACACAAGTGAGGTCTTTAAAATTGATTCTGATTATTTGTTTTGAAAACAGACGATATTCCCCCAGATGTTCAATATATTCATGTACCTCTCCTAAGCAAAGATTTTCTGTTACAGCTTTGTTTTATGTTGTGATAAAACTCACATTGTTTAACTGTGTTTTGTTCCTTGAAAAATTGTTTCCTAGTGAATTATGGGTAATCTGTGAGGTGTCGTGAATGCTCAGTAGAACATTTATTTATAAATGTACGTGATTGTCATGAAACAGAAAACTAGCGTAAGAGCTTATGTATATCAAAGACTTAGTACTAAATAACTTTCACACTAAGTTTGTAATTGTTAGAGGTCTAGTCTACCTTCACCTTGGTTTTAGAAAATCATTTCATCACTAACAATAAAATAAGGGTAATCTGCTCGGTGTCGCGCACGCTATTATTTGTATGTTATTTGTCTAGAAAATCATTTTTTCACTAACTGTGTAAACTTGTAAACCTAGCCTAAAATCATACAGTCAACACCTGGTGCTTGGGCTTCCATTTGTACAATACATGTATATTATTCAGATTCATAGCATGATGTCATAGACATTATACCTCAATATTCATTCCTAGAATATGGGTTATATTAATGTTATGTTTGACCTGTATTTTTTATAAATTATTTGTGTGTAAAACATGGTTTATTGTGGCAAAATATATATTAATTTTAGAGTTTATCCCTGCATGTTGGTTATAAGAAAGTTAATTAAGCAGTTACTTGTAATCTCAATATAATTTATATTATAATTTTAATGAAATTTTTTTAGATATTTTAAATTGTAAAATAGTGTCTGGTGAACAAAGAAAATAATTTACGCATTGCTAATAGCACCTACAATCTACAAAAATTACTAAAAAAGGTCTGATTATCTTTACTTTTCTTTAAATCTTAGTAAATTTGAGCCGCGTCATGACAAAACCAACATAGTGCGTTTGCGACCAGCATGGATCCAGACCAGCCTGCGCATCCGCGCAGTCTGATCAGGATCCATGCTGTTCGCTTACCAACCTTATTACAAGTAGAGAAACTGATAGCGACCAGCGTGGATCCTGATCAGGATCCATGCTGGTTTGCAAATGCATTACGTTGGTTTTGTTGTGACGCCGCTCATTTGTCTTTAAGTAAATTTTTCTCATGGTTGATTTTCTTGAAATATTTTGGCTAATCAGGAGACATGCAGCTTGAAAACATCTAAATTTTCAGCAAATGAAATAGCTTGATGGTAGTTAAAGATAATTCCACCTATTCATGTTGAAGTTTTACTTCATATAAAAAATTTTTTTTGATTTTGAGCTTAGTATATTACTGTTTTCATGCCTGGTCATGCCACAGCAGATTTCATACATGTTTTACATGTTATATATTATTGTAGATGAAACTTACTCTTGCCTGAATGTAGGCTATGCTCCAACTAAACTTGAACACATTATTTAAAAACTTGAACATAAAGGTGAAGCTTGCTAGCTAATGCTTCCCCTTAACTAAAATTTTTTCCATAGTATTACTATTATTAAGTGTATTGTATTTCATTGATCTGAATTATGCCACAAGATCTGAGAATTATTATAATTGTTTTATATCCCCCAATTTCCGTAGTACCTTTTTACCCAGTTTAGTTGTTGCCTAACTGTCCACTGAGTGGAACTTACAACCATAATTTAGATGTGTCCTAGTATTACTAATATCCACCAAGTCTTGTTACTCATAAATTAAATATTGCTGTTTTTTTTTTTTTTTAGAAATAGCACTATATTTAAGCATATGTAAGCATCATCCTTCTTATATAACAAGAAAAGACTACTGTATTTCTCCTCTTATTTGCAACAAGATACTTGACATTTTCCAAGACAGCACATTACTTTTAGACCAAAATAATCAATATATAAACTTTTGATAAAAATACATAAGTTCATCATCTGTTTATCTCGTAAAAAGAATGATTTTTCTCAAAGAACATTAAAACAGGCATTGTAAAATGGTTTAAATTATTAGTATACATAGATTTAAGATGATATTGTATTGTGTTAAACATTTTCATGATAATTTCATTAATTGGTACAACTTTCAGTTTATTACTCAGTGAAATATCATATATTGTGTTACAGCTTCAAGAATGGTTCTCTTACACGTGAGAATGTGATGAACCGTTGTGCAGGATCATGGGAAAAATTTAACGAAATGCTGAGTAAAACCCCACCAGGCAATAATGGCAATATAGGTAAATAGAAGTTATTTACTCTTGTAGATGAGAAATGTTTTATAGTAGTTATAGTAAAAACACTAAACTGTTAGAAAAAACATCACAGCCTTAGAGGACATTTACATGAATAGATACATATAATTATGTATGTATATTATTTCTGAAAATATCTCACTAAATGTTATCATAAGAATTAAAGCAAGTTTGAGGTAAACATGCTACCTTCAGTGAATATTAAAAAGGTCTATACAATGTAGAATATCATTGGACAGGTACTTGGCCTAATAATCAACATATGATGAACCATCAGGAATTTTATGCCCCCACAGAGTGGGAGCATATAGCGTTGCACTTGTCCGTCAGAGTGTCCGTTGTGGCACATGTAGTCCAAAAAATATTTGACTTAGAGTCATAAGATTGACAGAACAGTGGCGTGTGGGGGCATCCGTGTACTATGGACACATTTCTAGTATTGTTTTGTTATTCATGCTGGGACTGCAAGCCTGAATCTTACCGCATACTGTTAATGATATTGTTTATAAAAATTTCTTAAAAACTTTATTATTTAAATTTTTTTAGCTGACATTTCTCATAGTAGATTCTTAATATGTGTGCTTTCTCATTTTCTCAGTAGAAAAATTTCTTTTATCACAATTTAAATACCTTTAAGGATAATCTTCAATCTTTGCTAAATTGTTCATCTCAACAAGGCGGCAATTTGTAAAACTCATACCACTGCTGTACTGGCTCATGGTAAATTTTACTCGTAATAGTCAAATATAATTTGTGTCCTCTCTATATATCCTATACCCCTTTAATTATTTACTTCAAGTATTCACCTCAACAAAGCAATGTGCAGAACCCATGCTGCTGCTGTGTTGCCTTAAGGTCAAGGTCAAACTTGAAGTTCAAATACCAGAAACTTTTGTGTCAACTCTATAAATGTTTTTATCACTTGACAAATTTTCTTCAAACATACTGTAGCTCAAATGTTCACATTAAAAGATCATTTAAATGGACTAAAACAAATTCTTATGTCATAGAAATGGAAGAAGTATTCATCACTCCTTTGGCAGCTACAGTATGACATGATAATCAGGGTCTTCTTTTGTTGTTTTTCAGGAATTTACTTTGACAAGAAAGAAATACAACCAGTTGTGAGAGGCATCTTTAGATTTAATGAAAACAATGAACAGGTATTGATAGATTGAATTTAATTATATAAATGTATATAAATGAATTTAAATATATAAATGTGTATAACAAAATGTTTGTTTTAACAAGATGAAAACTTTTTTTCATTTTGTTATATGCCACATTATGAATATCACTGTCATATTTAGAATTACAGAGGACTGGTGGAGGAAGCCCACAGATTCCCTTTGGTGCAGTAAAAGGAACTGTGTAGAACCACCACTCTTCTACAAGCTAGTGAAAAAGCGCTTCCTTACATGAAATAATACAGAGTCCCTGAGTGACAGAACATTAAATCTATGCCAGTCAGAATCTATTGCTTTAAAGCTTCCTATGGGCCTCCATGTCCAAGTTGTTGTGGTTGCACACTTTGAGCATCAGGCCCCTTATTGCTGTGGATTCAGAACCCTCGATGGACTTTAGATTCTGTCCAGCTAACAAATAGAAGTTCTGTGATTCTACTTCCGTGCCTGCTCATGCCTGAAATTATGTGAGGAGGAGCACCTTTAGACATACAGAAAGTTTCTATATGACCATGTCTTAAAGCCTTTCCAAAAACAGACCTTAGAGTGCAAATTCACAGTTTTAATGTGCAAGTTAATAATATCTCTAAAATTGCTGAAAGAATTTGTAGAAACCTCACACACTAATTTGAGAGCATAATAATTCACTCTCCTAGGCCAATAACTATAAATTATATTTTGACACAATTATGGCCCTGTTTTAACCTAGAAAATTCTATATTATCCAGGCTTTTGTTTTACTATCAAGTAAAAATGTACAATTAGGTAGGTAGAGAAAACCATAACTTTTTGTACTACTGGGGCCAGTTTCTCAAAGCTCTGTTAAATTTAACCGTCCGTTAAATCCACTAACGGACGGTTAAATTTAACAGGCAGTTAAATTTAACAGAGCTTTGAGAAACTGGCCCCTGATGTATAACTCACTATTAGTTAAAGTATTACAAAACTGTTATAAATCTGTTATCTGTAATAAAGTTAACACTGAGTTATTTCAGGTTGAAAGTTTCACACCAGAGGTAGAAGTGCGGGCAGTGTTAGAGAGTCAGTTTCTTGCGAGACTCATGTATGCTAAACTTTGTGGATTACAAATAGGTTATTCCTTTCTACAGATCTATTTATTGCCCCTGCCTTTTCGAAGAAAAAAAGGGGGAAAAAGAAATAGACTCCGTCTGTCCTTCCGTCTGCCCACTTTGCACAAATGTTTGTCATAATAAGACGATGTGTCATGTGTAAAAACCAGACTCCTACCTCCAGGGTCAAGGATGCACTTGCTCATTCAAGGTCAACATTGTCTATTTGAGGGTATATGTCGTGTTCGGTCTATAACTTTCTTATCTTTGAAGGGATTTTGTAAATACTTGCCACAATTGTTTACAATAATAAGACGATGTGTCATGCGCAACACCTGCATTCCTTTCCTGCAAGGTGAAGGTCACACTTAGAGGTAAAAAAATAACATAGTCTGTTATAGGGTATATTTTGTGTCCGATCTAGAACTTCTTCATAGTTCCAGGGATTTTGAAAACACAATTAGTCACAATAATAAGACGATTTGTCAAGTACAACACTTGCGACCCTACCTCCAAGGTCAAGGTCACACTTAGAGGTCAAAGGTTAACAGAGTCTGTTATATGATATATTTTGTGTCCCGTCCATAACTTCTTTATAGATCAGGAGATTTTGAAAATACTTGGCACAAAAAGTCACAATGACAAGATGATATGTCATGCGTAACACCTGTGTCCCTACCTCCAAGGTCAAGGTCATACTTAGAGGTCAAAGGTTTACATAGTCTGTTAGGGTATATTTTGTGTCCAGTCCATAACTTTTTCATAGATCAAGGGATTTTAAAAATACTTTGCACAAATAATCACAATAATAAGATGATATGTCAGGCGCAAAACATGGGTCCCTACCTCCAAGGTGACACTTAAAGGTCAAAGATAAACATAGTCTGTTATAGGGTATATTTTGTGTCGGATCTATAACTTCTTCATAGTTCAAGGGATTTTGAAAATACTTTGCACAAATAGTTACAATAATAAGACGATATGTCATGCACAACACGTGCACCCCTACCTCATCTTTAAGTTGTATTATCTTAAAAGAGCAACATGTGTCTGAATGATAATTTTTGTGATTAGTCTGTAGAACCCTAATAACCATAAAGGGCACTGAGACGGGGTCTCAGGTAGGGGGATTTGGTGTTGTTTTAAAGGAAAAGGGGAATTTTGTTTGTAATCAATATTCAAATATTTAATGTGACATATTTAATTTTGCAAAAAGCAAATTTCAGTAAGGTATGGTTAAGGCTCTTCTGTTTTTTTTGGCAAGTAAAATTATGAAAAAAGTTCTTTTTTTAGGGGAATTAACAATTTTATTGAAAAATGTGTGAAAAATATATATTTATTGGGGGTGGGGGATTGTTAAATGAGGGCCATTGATTCTTTTTTTTCATTCTTTACTTTGACTAACTAATATAGGCTTGCTTTTTGATATTCGTGTATAAAACAACAGAATGGTACTTGGATATGTTGATATTTTAATGTGTTGTATTAATTTTTTTTCTTGTAGGTCCCGAATCACGTGTGATTGCTACAGGTGGTGCCTCGGCTAATCCAGCTATACTCCAGGTAAATTTTATATCCTTATGATACATGTACATACATGTTAAATATTGTATGTTTTAATCTATCTTATTGTAGAGTATCTGATATACTTAGTACTTATGTTTATCACCAAGTCATCGATAACACAAACACACCAGCTATGAAATGACTTTGAAAATATATATAATGCATTGAAACTTCATTACACTCTCAACTCAAAAAATAGGCGACCTCGAAAATAAACCGTCCTCAAATATAAGCCAGAATCTTGCCAAAATCCAAAATAAGTTGCAGCTTATTTTTGGATATTTTTAAGTAATCCAAATAATATTTTAATACATAAATTATTTCTACAATATTTCTAAAATTTTAGTGACATGTTCTTGTTTTATATTGTAGATAATAGCTGATATATTCAACACAACTGTATATATCACAGATGTCCCAAACTCAGCAGCTTTAGGTGCATGCTACAGGGCCAAACATGGTAAAATACTCTTATATGATATATATAACATTTGCATGCAATACAAGTCACTATAGATCTTTATTTAGCGACAAACATATAAGATATTTAATTTGTTGGTACCTTGAATGGTTCTCTCTCTTAATGTGAGGTTTGCAGTCTCTTGGGTCAAGATACCAGCTAAAAATAGACTTGCTTATCTTTTTCAAAGCTTCATTAAAGATGAGTCATTTCAGTCATCTGTCAGACAAGCTACATATATATTTTACATTTTGTAATACATGTATATTTTGTCGATAGAGATTTTAATTTTTTGAAATATTAATGTATTTTAGATAGATACATATTATTCATATTTTACAGCAATGATGCCAGAGGGTACACCATACAGTGAGATAGTGAAGAATTTACCTGAGCCTGTTTGTGCTTGTAAACATACACCTGGTCTAGAAAAGGTATCTTCAATTTGAATATGGCAGCATGGCCGAGTGGTTAACGCGTCAGACTAGTTATTTAAGGTTTGCTGACCATGTTGGTTCAAACCCTTTCAGGGGCAAGCCATTGTTTCTGTGTGTAAGAAAATTTACACTTATTGCTTAGTACTGGTTGGTCCAGGAACGGATTTGAGAGTGTTTCAATAAGCTTTTAGCTTCCAACACAATCAAACTGAAATAAATTTGTATAAACTATTTTGAATATGCACTTTGTAGCTTAAAGGTTAATATCATTGACTTGCACTTACTTTTTGAATCCTGCTTATACAGTTTAAACCTTTCATTATTATTCATCTAGGAAATAAGCTTATGAAAATATTTTGGTTCTACCCAGATACCAGCTTTTGTCTTAAATAACACATGAGGTTTGCATCAACCTGTAATGCTAGTTGTTTGCTTTATTATGTTCTGTAATGATAATTGAGTAACTCAAAATCCAACATTCAGGATGTTTTGAAAAGGATATGCAGTTACCATTAGAATAAAAAAAGTTCAGTTGTCAAACAGTTATTTTGTCAGTTGTATAAATTCTACACCTTTGATGTATTTTCTCAAACTTGGCTCAATTGTTTGTCCCATAATATTGATTTACAGAACTTATGCTGTTAACTCAAGGTTAAGGTCACTCTTGAAGGTAAAATTGAGTGTGCACAACTGTAGTCAAGGTCATTTTTAACACCAAATGTCAGACAATTTTGGGTCCGCTTTATAAATCCCATGCCCTGGAAGGAATTTCTTCAATCTTAGCTCAAATATTCACCTCAGTAAGACAAAGTCCATGCCACCCTTGTACTGGCTGAAGGTCAGGGTCACTTGAAAGTTAAATGTCAGACTAATTTATCTCCACTATAAATTTTATACTTCTTGAAGGACTTGTTCAAATTTAACTTCAAAAATGATGAAAAAATATGGACCTACACAAAACCCTGGGTCACAGAGAGGGTTGAAGATATTGGTCACTCCTGTGACAACTCTTGTTTTGTTGTGTTTTTTTTTAACTTAGACGAGGAATAATTAAAATGAGGAATAATTAAAAACACAATATTTGAATTACATACAAAGTTAAATTGTGGAAGTTTTTTTGGTATTTCAGGTATATATGCCTATGATGGAAAGATACAGGAAACTGGAGGAGAAAATTTCTGCCATGTGAGGAAATACAATAAGAAAAGAGACACTAGGGGATAATATATCCACACCATGTTTTATAACCAGGTTATGGGGAGCACATGTGATTATATTGATATCATACGGGAAGATTTGTATAATAAACAAGAATTTCAAAGTGATTTTGTAAGTGTAAGGGAATTTTTCAGGAAAAGGTGTACTTATTGATAGATTGCGGTTAGATATGGCTATGTGCTTTAGATAATGATGTGTGCTGGTGATATATTGTAGGTCAGGGCTCTTGTTTGATAAAATTTGGGGCCGAATATGGGCCCCATTCCCCCATTAAAATTGCATGTTTTTTTCCTTGCCTAATACAAAAAAAAAAAACAAAAAAAAATCGAAAATAATATTTAACAGCCATAGATCAGTGATAAAGTTGAATTTTTATACAAAGTATCAAAGATGTATTCATTTTTATTGGAAATAAACAAAATTGTTCTAGACAGTAGTTTATTGTTGATGAATTGTTAACTAAATCTTTTTTCACTTGTTTTTTTTTAAATTAACCCTTGAATGAAAAGTACTTGAAAATCATACAAAATCATGCACATTTAAAGCCTCAAAAATGAATATTTTTTAAAGTATTAATAATGGATTAAAAGCATGTTTTGATGCTAATAATGTAAAGAAAGAAGCAATGAATATGGTGTTTTGTGTGACATGCACATTTTAATTCATTGTAACTGTAATTTATGCTATCAAGCAAGCAGAGCAAAAGACTAATCAAAAGTAATACATTGAACATCATTGCATTTGTATGTATATAAATTTTTTGTGTGCAAATTATAGTGATCAGAAATTAAGTATAATGTTGTATGACATTCATGCAGTGACTTTAAATGGAAATTATACGATATGAAGAAATGTTCATAAATTTGAATGACAATTACACGATATGAAGAAATGTTCATAAATTTGAATGAAAATTACACGATATGAAGAAATGTTCATAGATTTGAATGCAAATTATACAATATGAAGAAATGTTCATAGATTTGAATGCAAATTTTACTATATGAAGAAATGTTTATAGATTTTAATGCAATTCATACAATATGAAGAAATGTTCATAAATTTGAATGTATATTACACGATATGAAGAAATGTTCATGAATTTAAATGTAAATTATACGATATGAGGAAATGTTCATAAATTTGAATGTAAATTACACGATATGAAGAAATGTTCTTAAATTTGAATGCAAATTATTTGATATGAAGAAATGTTCATAAATTTGAATGTGAATTATATATTTTATGAAATAAAAATTATTTTGTAATTTTGAATGCATACATGATTGTGGAGCGTATGCGACATTTACAGGCATGTATCAGTTATCTGCATGTTTTTAAAATATCATTGGTGAA